CCTGGAGAAGGAAATGGCAACCAACTCCAGCATTCTTGCCTGGAAAATCCCATGGACGGAGGAGCCTGGCGGGCTACAGTCCATGGGGTCACAAAGAGTCGGACACAACTGAGCGACTTCACTTTCCTTTTCACTTTCCTTGCTATAAAGACAGAATGTATTTGGACCAGGTACTTCCCTTTAAGCAAAGGCCCAGTCTCACTAAGTTTCAGAACTCTTCTCAGCTCAGCAGTTCCACTTCTTGTATTTACCCCAGAAAACTGAATGCCTGTGTCCACACAAAAACTCACAAATGACTGTTCCTGGCGGCTAAAATGTCCAAATGTCCATCAGCTGAACAAAATGTGTCATATCAGTCCAATGCAACATTATTCAGCTGTAAAAAAGTAATCAGGTAGTGGACTTGCTTGGTGGTCTAGTGGTTGGGAGCTGCCTGCCTATGCGGGGGACACAGGTTCGAGTCCTAGTCCGGGATGATCCCACATGCTGTGAAGCAACCGGGTCCTTGAGGTACAAATACTGAATCCTGTGTACTCTAGAGCCCGTGGCCTGCAATCAAAGAAGTCACCACAATGAGAAGTCTGGACACCCCAAAGAAGAGTAGACCCCACTCGCCAAAACTAGAGAAAGCCTGAGCGCAGTGACTTCTGCCCGGCAAAGCTGGAGACGTGACCGTCACTGCACTTTGCCACATTCACAGTGAAACAGGCCCTGGGACTCTGCAGGTCAGAGCTGCCTTCCAGGGCTGTCTTCTCAACAAGACCTTCTTTGCCACCTCTATGACATCTTACCTTCTCTCCTCTGCCATCTCTTGCCCTCCCTTCTTCCATCTTTCTCCATACCACTCAGCTCAGCTCAGTTCAGTCGCTCAGTCGTGTCCGACTCTTTGCGACCCCACGCACTGCAGCACGCCAGGCCTCCCTCTCCATCACCAACTCACAGAGTTTATTCAAACTCATGTCCATTGAGTCGGTGATGTCACCCAACCATCTCATCGTCTCTCATCCCCTTTTCCTCCTGCCCTCAATCTTTCCCAGCATCAGGGTCTTTTCCAGTGAGTCGGCTCTTCGCATCAGGTGGCCAAAGTATTGGAGCTTCAGCTTCAGCATCAGTCCTTCCAACGAACATTCAGGACTGATCTCCTTTAGGATGGACTAGTTGGAGTCCCTTGCAGTCCAAGGGACTCTCAAGAGTCTTCTCCAACACCACCATTCAAAAGCATCAATTCTTCAGCGTTCAGCTTTCTTTATAGTCCAACTCTCACATCCATATATGGCTACTGGAAAAACCACAGCTTTGACTAGATGGAGCTTCGCACTCAGGGCTCATGAACTAGTACACCTTTGCAGTTTGGAGCTATAAACCCATTGGACCATGCATTTCCTGAAAATAGAGAGTGTCCACTTTGGCCACTATGCAGTCTCCTGCCTTGCCGCACTTCTCCAATACATAGTAGGCGAAGGAAAGAATGAATGAGAGTTTGATTAACAGATTAGAAATTATTAGGCAAGTTCTGTTTTCAGAAGGCTAAGTTCTGTTATAAAACCCTCACCTACAGCGTAAGTGTGTATATCGGGTGTTTTTAACATTCCATGAGGGTTACACAGTAGGCATCAGTTAAACTTATTTAGTTACAAGGAACAGAGATGCCTTCTCCGAGAAACTTCCACACTCAAGGGAGCTTGCTGGAGCACTCCAGGAGTAAGTCTGTGCTGCGTGTGCTAAGTCACATCAGTCATGTCTGACTCTTCAAGACCCTGGGGACTGTAACCCACCAAGCTCCTCTCTCCTTGGGATTCTCCAGGCAAGAATACTAAAGTGGGCTGCCATGCCCTTCTCCAGGGGATCTTCCTGAGCCAGGGATCGAACCTGTGTCTCTTAAGGGTTCTTTCCCACTCGCGTCACTTGGGAAACCCAGCAGTTAAGTCTAGAGAGAGGCAAGGCTGGAATCTGGGCTCACGAACTCAACAGAACCAGGAGCTGGTTTTTCTGTGCAGTTCTCAGCTCTGCCCAACCAGCCTGGGCGTGAGTCTCGTTTTCACGCCAGACCTCCATCTTGGGTTCCTGTGGGTGCCAGGCATTCAAGATACTTCCTCATTCAGGTCCAAGAGCAAACAATCTTTTCAGGCAGCATGTGTAGCTCAGAAATCTTCCAACTATATACAGCATGCGGGTCCAGGCTGGCCCACTGCTTGCTGTGTAAATAAAACTTTATTGGAGCACGGACACTCCTACTCATTCACATGTTGTCCATGGCTGCTTTCATCCCACAATGACAAAGCATTGCCCAGAGCCCTTGCGTCCCATTGACTCTGTCATACAGCCATCCCTGGATCACTGGGACTGATCCCAGCTGATCCCGGGACCAGCAACCATAGCAGGAGCTTCGACCAGGATCCAGCCCGCCCACACTTGAGACGAGAAAACAGTGGAGGGTTAAATTCCTCAATAGGAAATCAGGGTTCTGTCAGGGAGAGAAGTGGGGAATCCCAGCTGGAAAAACCACAAATATCCAGGATATAGTGTGTGCTGGGGAGCCTGGTGGGCCACCGTCTATGGGGTCGCATAGAGTCGGACACGACTGAAGTGACTTAGCAGCAGCAGCAGCAAGGATTTAAAATGTCTAAACCCTAAGTGCAGTTTGAAACAGAGAATAAAAGTTTACTTCTCTAAAACCATTTCTTACCAAAAACCATCAGTCAGTTCAGTCATGTACGACTCTTTGTGACCCCACGGACTGCAGCACGCCAGGCCTCCCTGTCCATCACCAACACATGGAGCTTGCTCAAACTCATGTCCATCGGTGATGCCATCCAGCCATCTCATCCTCTGTCGCCCTCTTCTCCTCCTGCCCTCAATCTTTCCCAGCATCAGGGTCTTTTCCAATGAGTCAGTTCTTCCCACCAGGTGGCCAAAGGATTGGAGTCTCAGCTTCAACATCAGTCCTTCCAATGAACATTCAGGACTGATTTCCTTTAGGATGGACTGGTTGGGTCTCCTTGCAGTCCAAGGGACTCTCAAGAGTCCAACACCACAGTTCAAAAGCATCCACTCTTCAGCACTCAGCTTTCTTGATAGTCCAACTCTCCCATCCATACATGACTACTGGAAAAACCACAGCTTTGACTAGGTGGACCTTTGTTGGCAAAGTGATGTCTCTGTTTTTTAATATGCTGTCTAGGTTGGTCGTAGCTTTCCTTCCAGAAAGAGCAAGCATCTTTTAATTTCATGGCTGCAGTCACCATCTGCAGTGATTTTGGAGCCCAGAAAAACAAAGTCAGCCACTGTTTCCACTGTTTCCCCATCAATTTGCCATGAAGTGATGAGACCAGATGCCATGATCTTAGTTTTCTGAATGTTGAGTTTTAAGTCAGCTTTTTCACTTTTTTCTTTCACTTTCTTCTTCATTTTCTGGCATAAGGGTGGTGTCTTCTACATATCTGAGGTTATTGATATTTCTCCCAGCAATCTTGATTCCATCTTGTGCTTCCTCTAGCCTGGCATTTCACATTATGTACTCTGCATATAAGTTAAATAAACAGGGTGACAATTTATAACCTTGGCATACTCCTTTCCAGATTTGGAACCAGTCCATTTTTCCATGTCCTGTTCTGACTGTTGCTTCCTGACCTACATACAGATTTTTTAGGAGGCAGGTAAGGTGGTCTGGTATTCTCATCTCTTGAAGAATGTTCCACACTTTGTTGTGATTCACACAGTCAAAGGCTTTGGCATAGTCACTAAAGCAGAAGTAGATATTTTTCTGGAACTCTCTTACTTTTTCGAAGATCCAGGGGAAGTTGGTAGTCTGATCTCTGGTTCCTCTGCCTTTTCTAAATCCAGCTTGACCATCTGGGAGTTCTTGGTTCACGTACTGTTGAAGCCTGGCTTGGAGAATTTTGTGCATTACTTTGCTAGCGTGTGATATGAGTGCAATTATGCAGTAGTTTGAACATTCTTTGGCATTGCCCTTCTTTGGGGCTGGAATGAAAACTGGTCTTTTCCAGTCCTGTGGCCACTGTTGAGTTTTCCAAATTTGCTGGCCTATTGAGTGCAGCACAGTCACAGCATCATCTTGAAGTAGCTTAGTTTCCTTAATTGTTAAGAGCAATGAAAAATTTTTAAATCTTAATCATGGTGGTAGTTACATGACTGTTAATTGGTCAAAAGTTGCAGAACTGTAGCCAAGATTGTCCATGGGATTGCAAAGAGTCGGGGACAGCTGGGCTAGTCACTTTCCTTTTCAGTCGAGATTGTAGAATTTATGCAAAGGTCTAGAGAACAAATGTATTTGCCTTTGCAGACCAAGACTGTAGCAAGTGCTCCGGTCTGCCATGGCCGCACGAAAGCAGCCACTGACAATATGTCAATGAGCAGGAGTGGCTGTGTTCCAATAAAACTTTATTCACAAAACAATCTGTGGGCCAGTTTGGACCCACAGCCTGTATCCAGCCTGAAGATTTCTGAACTGAACTGCATACTTAAGAAAGAGTGAGTTTTACTGCATGCAAATTATACCTTGGTAAAGCAAACAAGAAAAGGTAAAGCAGGGAAAATAAAATGTACTCTGGGCAGGGGGAAAAAAAAGCCTGAAGTCCGTTCAGCTTACTTATAATGAGATTTTATCAGGAGAAGAGAGGTATTTGTGTTGTTGGAAGAAGGACTTGCTAAGGCTATTTGTACAACAATAGTTGGGCTATGCAGCGGCCAGAAGGGTTACAAAAAGTTAAGCAGGGAATTTTACACTTGACTTTTGAAGATTATCTTACACACTCACTTGAAAAATTCACCAGGACATCTGCTCCTTACCTCTGTCCTCAACAGAGTCACCTGCAGCTGGCTGTTCCCCAAGTTAGCAATTCAGAACTGAGTTCTTTTCATTTGGTTTTATTTAGCAGGATGACTTTAAGACCCAGTGTCTTGTACTTGTTGTCTTTTACCATTTGCTTCTTTTATGGCAAAGCCATGTTTATCAGATAGAGACTGTAAATAAGATCCGATCATTTCATCCCCTTCCCTAAGTAATGGCAGAAACAAAACATCTCTGAGGATGTCAGCCCACCAGAATTGAAAGAGAAATCAAACTGTTGGGATGCAGAAAGGGAACTCTTTCGAGAAAAAAGAAAAAAAAAAATGTTTTTAAAGCAAGAGAGTTTAAAATGAGCTCTCATCAGCTGGCATTCAAACACCCAAGTGTGATGTAGGCAGGGTGACATGAGGGTGTTACTGCACTGTGGAAATGCGGGTTGTCTGAGAGTCATACAGTCAGATTTCAGCTTCTGGAATTTTTTTTTAACATGTAGAATAGACAACAGCGTTCCTCTCGGAGCAGGAGAGATGCACTTTTCAATCAAAGGTAGCTGATGTGTAGATGAGCTGGAATTTTCCATGAAGACGTTCATTCCTCCCCACAAGCATCAGGCCTCAGAGGATGCTACGTGAAGGGGCAGATGGCATGCCAGGCAGGGGACGAATAAGACGTGAGCGGCCTTCCAGCAGCTGAGAGCACAATTAGGAAGACAGATGAAAACACAAATATTTAAGAAAGCATGTCGTGTTATAACAGCCTCTAAATACTTTTAACAACTCCAGGCCAATTTAATTTACGCGAGGTGTCGTTCAACATGCAAGCACTATGATTTCCCTTTGAACCAATACTACTAAGAAAACATGATCAAAAGAATCATGCAAGAGAAAAAAAAATTGTCACGCCTAATTCATTTTCCCCCTCTCCCAAGCCTGGTGCTATCACAGATAGTGGTGCAGAATTTTCGTTCTTAAAAAAAAATAAATAAAAGCCAATTTTAAAAAAATGTTTATTGTTGCTTGATTGGTTTGTGCTTCTTTTTTGTGTTTTTGGTTTCCGAAAGTAACGAGGTTCATTGGACCAAGAGAGGTGAGGCGTAACATAAAGAGAACGTGGACGATCAGAGTTAATTTTAGTCACAATCCTGGTCTCAGTGACCGCCGGAACATTTTAGACACAGACTTTCGATATGGTTGCAGCAAACGAGCGAGGAAGGTGGAATTAAGTTGCAAACACACGGTCACTTTTTCCATTGAGTCATTTTGTAGCGTGAGACATAAGCATCGCCAACAATCTTTGCCCAGGACATGAGATGGATAAGTCTGAGGAATAGCTCCTACAGTTGATGAGACTCACCGTGGGGCCTGAGACCCTGCATGAGGGCCTGTCGGATAGCACGGATACCTCGGGAGGGTCACAAAGGGTTCCTGTGCGTGCAGGTTCCCGGCAGCCACTCCCCGGACAGTCTGATGCTGAGGACTGACGTGGGGCCGGGAATATATTCATCCATCCGGCAGACTGCATGGTACCTGTCGGGCTGCCCTGGCGGCTCAGAAGGTAGAGAGTCTGCCTGCCAATGCAGGAGACGTGGGCTCGATCCCTGACTCGGGAAGAGCCGCTGGAGGAGGAAATGGCAACCCACGCCAGGACTCCTGGGCTTCCCTTGTGGCTCAGCTGCTAAAGAATCCGCCTGCAACCCAGGAGACCTGGGTTCGATCCTTGGGTCGGGAAGATCCCCTGGAGGAGGAAATGGCAACCCACTCCAGCATTCTTGCCTGGAGAATCCCACAGACTGAGGATCCTGGCGGGCTAACAGTCCATGCGGTCGCAAAGAGTCAGACACGACTGAACACATAACACCCCTCATATAGACAACCAGGGACCAGGAGCTCTGGCAGTATGTGTTTGCAATATTCCAGGTGACACCTCACCCAGAGGTTCCCAAACCTCACCACCATTGACTCTTCAGGGCTCCCTTGACCAACCAAGAAGACTTCAGAAGGGACCTGCGTCTGACACGATGCTGGCAACAGAAGAACAGCCTGTGGTCTAATCTACCTGTAACCATTCCCAGTGAGCCCAGTGAGAGTTTTTTCAGAGAGGGTGCATTTGCAGTTACATTTCACGAATTCCATGAATGCCTTTCCGTTAATTGTCACAGAGATGTTCATTTCCTAAAATGACCGCTAATCCCCCCTTCATCTGAAGTCCCCAGTTTCCCCAGGTCAGCAGAATACACCGTATCTGTGTTTCTTTTTCTTGGCAAAAAGAAAAAAAAATAGACTCTCAGCCAGCCAGCCTGAGAAATGTACCAGGCCCCTCACAACTGCAGTCATGGACTTGCGTTTTGACAAATGGAACAATCTCAGACCCAAATGCCTAGAAAGAAATAGGGCTCACAAGTCGCATGCATGCCTGCTAAGTCGCTTCAGTTGTGTCCGACTCTTTGCAACCTGGTTTGTGGACTATAGCTCACCAGGGTCCTCTGTCCATGGGATTGCCCAAGCAAGAATACTGGAGTGGGTTTCCATTCCCTTCTGCAAGGGATCTTCCGGACCCAGGGACCGAACCCACATCACTTTAGTCTCCTGCAGTAGCAGGTGGGTTCTTTACCCTTAGCACCACCTGGGACGCCCACATACAGTCACATAACCATGTTATTTGTCGAGTGCATTATGTGAAACACTGTTCTGAAGGAAGCATTAATGGAGCATGGTCTGTTTAACTTTTGTAATGACAGCTCTGTATTCACCGTTTCTCTCCAAATAAACGACACCAGGGTGCCTCAGTAGTCCATCTGAATAGGAGATTTTCCTCTTGTCTCCATCTAGTCCAAGGGTTGTCCAACTACACTCTGGTGCCTCTTTCTGTAAAATAATAATAATGTTTAATTGGAACCCAGACATGCCCATTTTCATTTAGGTGTTGTCTGTGGTTGCATCCCGGCTACAACACAGCAGAGTTAAATCGTTGCCACAGGGCCCTACCGCCTTCAAAACTTAAAATAGTTAACCCTTTGCGGAGAAAGCTTGCCAAACCCTGATCTTGATGCCAGAGGCCACCAGAGTTAGAACTCAGCCTGATAGATGAAAATGCTCGATGCTGACAGTGAAGCCGTACAAGTCTGTGCAAAGAACTGCTCTGCATAAAAGCAGGAGAAGAAATCACACGGGAAAGATCTATAGATTTTAGCATATTTTGTTGCTGTTGTTCAGTCGCTAAGTCGTGTCTGACTCTTTGTGACCCTGTGGACTGCAGCACGCCAGGCTTCCCTGTCCTTCACTGTCTCCTAGTTTTCGAAAACTCACGTCCATTGAGTCGGTGATGCCATCCAACCATTTCCTCCTCTGTCGTCCCCTTCTCCTCTTGCCCTCAATCTTTCCCAGCATCAGGGTCAGCTCTTCACATCTGGTGGCCAAGGTATTGGAGTTTCAACATTAGTCTTTCCAATGAATATTCAGGGTTGATTTCCTTTAGCATGGACTGGTTAGATCTCTTGCAGTCCAAGGGACTCTCAGGAGTCTTCTCCAGCACCACCGTTTGAAAGCATCAATTCTTTGGTGCTCAGCCTTCTTTATGGTCCAGCTCTCACAGCCATATATGACCACTGGAAAAACCATTAATCCTTCCACGATTTAAAACATCTTTAAAATTACAAGAGCAATAAGGGAAAACATTACCAAAAAAAAGAACCAAAAAAACCCCAAAGGGATTAATGTGCCCCATATCTAAAGAACTGTCCCAAATCTGTGGGAAAGCCAGCTGACCGTTCAACAGAACAGACTAAAAAAAGAGCAGAGACAAATTGCCACTTTACAGAGCAGGAGACAGAGCTGAGAAAGAGAGACGAGATGTCCAACCTAACTAGTGACTAGCGAAATTAAAAATATAATGAAATCCAGGTTTCTGCTTGGGGGATAAAAATTGAGTGACACAGTGAGTTCTATCCACTTAATGATGATATGTGAAAGAAGTTTCCTTGAGCCTGGATCCATTAGGGTGGGGTGGGGTGGGATCAATTCTGAAGGTCACTTGGCGGCATCTCTTAAGAGTAAACACAAGGCCCTTTGACCCCTGATGGCTTAGACGGTAAAGAATCTGCCTGCCATGCAGAAGACCCAGGTTCGATCCCTGGGTCGGGAAGATCCCCTGGAGGAAGGCAACCCACTCTCTCTTGCCTGGAGAATGCCTTGGACAGTGGAGCCTGGCAGGCTATGATCCATGGGGTCGCAAAGAGTCAGACATGACTAAAGCAACTTAGCGAGCACGCAGCACAAGGCACCCGCCACTGGTTGCTCCCGAAGGTGCCGGTGAGGACCAAGTCAGGCCCCCTGGGCCGGATGGAATCCTCCCCATCGGCATAGCTAACGACCTAAGCCTGGGACACGCTGGCCTCCGTGTCCACTGCCGGGCAGGGCCAGCGGCTCTGGTGAGAGGGCAGACAGCTGCCTCGGAAGGGAGGCAGAGACGACGGATGAGCCATGTCCGTGACAACCGGGGGCTTCAAATCCTCGATTCCAGCTGCTGCAGTGACCAGGTGCGCACCTCCATCCTGACTTACTTACCTGACCGGATGGCCTCTGTCTCCAGTGCAATTTGGAATGACGTTTCTGTTGCATTCACGGACGTGAACATCCTGTGTTCCCTTCTACACAGTCCTACGCAGACAAGAACAGGAAAACGTAGGAGAATAAACACATACGATTCTCAACGTTGGGTAGAAAAGCATTCCATCTTTGTCATCATCGGAGGAGTACAAATTCCTTTAAAATGGGGGAATTTGCTTTCTTTGTAGTCCAACTCTCACATCCATACCTGACTACTGGAAAAACCATAGCTTTGGCTAGATGGACCTTTGTCAGCAAAGTCACGTCTCTGCTTTTTAATATGCTGTCTGGGTTGGTCATAGCTTTTCTTCCAAGGAGCAAGCGTCTTTTCATTTCATGGCTGCAGTCACCATCTGCAGTGATTTTGGAGCCCAGGAAGATCAAGTCTGTCACTGTTTCCATTGTCTCCCCATCTCTTTGCCATGGGGAAGGATTAAACATCCCCACCCAGCTGAACTCGGGTCTGGCCAGGTGACATGTCTCCCCCACGAAGATGAGAAATGTAACACATCAGAAGGAGACTTGAGGGCAAGGTTGTCATTTTCCGCCCACCCTCCTCATCTCCACCTACCTCGGTGCCCACGTGACTACAACAGCAGGGGCCTCGGGCCAACTTGCAGTGACACGTTGCAAGAATGAGAGAAATGCTGCGTTGTGAGTCCCTGGGGTCATCATCGGTGACTGCACCATCTCACCAGCTCCCCTCACAGATACGGCGGGAACCCAGGGAAAGATGCCACGGAGGATCTTTGGAAAGAAAAGGAAGCTTGCACAGGCTTCCTGGATTGCACAACACACGTTAACTCTTTTGACCCGCTGTTCTGTTCTCTGGCTATTTTTACACACTGTCATTATTCTTCGTGATATTTCACTAACTTAGCGAGAGGTCCTCCGGCTTTTCTGAGGCTGATTAACAGGCCAGTGAGGGGAAGGTCTTGGCTGCCTCAGAAGGATTAATATTTCTAGCACAGCTCATGCTCTGTACGAAATGAGACTGCTATCCTCATTCAGCACAAAGAAGGCCACATTTCTGTAACACATTACCCAGCTCTTGCATCCCTCGGCGACCCACTCCCACCCCCAGGCTCAGAAGTAGAAGAGAAGGCAGTGAGAAGCAGCTCCAAGTAAGTTTTCCCAGATTCACTCTACACCAGCTCTAAGATGAGTGTAAGAAGTTCCAATGCTTTGGCCACCTGATGGAAAGAAGTGACTCATTGGAAAAGACCCTGATGCTGGGAAAGATTGAAAGCGGGAGGAGAAGGGGACGACAGAGGATGAGACGGTTGGATGGCATCACTGACTCGAGGGACATGACTTTGGGTGAACTCCGGGAGTTGGTGATGGACAGGGAGGCCTGGCGTGCTGCAGTCCATGGAGTTGCAAAGAGTCAGACACGACCGAACAACTGAACTGAACTGAAGATGAGTATAGACCAAAGATTGCTGCCTCTTGGAAGCTAGCTTTGTGTCGTTAGATTCACACTCAGCTCGTGACGTGTGTGTATCTGGGGGCAGAAGTGCCTCTTTGTTGCATGAGGGATTTACAAATGGAAAGAAACAGCCCCTCAAATGACCGTAAGAACATTTTTTCATAAAACTGGATGGAACTCATCTTCAGTGACCTTGTGCGTGAAAGGAACGCAGGAAAAAGAGTGAGATTACTTCTGAGAACTGAACTGAGATCATTAACATTTGGAGCCAGGGAGCTTCTCGTGAGCTGAACCACAGAGAAGGGGACGACAGAGGATGAGATGGCTGGACGGCATCACCGACTCAATGGACATGGGTTTGGGCAAACTCTGGGAGTTGATGATGCACAGGGAGGCCTGGCGTGCCACAGTCCATGGGGTCGCAAAGAGTCGGACACGACTGAGTGACTGAACTCAACTGAAGTGAACTGGACCCACACAAGTATGCATACTATCTTCACTGAAGCAGTGCACACACATTCACACCTATAGACACACCACCGCCTACAGTGGAGCAATGCATACACACAGAGAACAAATGCCACAAGAAGTATCTGCAGCAAATTGAAATGAAATTTGTGTATTGCTATGACTTCTCCCCCCCCCCCAAAAAAAAAAAAGCCTTTCTGGGCTTCCCTGGTGGCTCCGTGGTAAAGAGTCCACCTGCTGGTGCAGGAGACATGGGTTCGATCCCTGGTCCTGGAAGATTGCTCGTGCCAAGGAGCAACGAAGCCCCGTGCACCACAGCTGTGGAGCCTGCGCTCTGGAACCGGGGAGCCACAACTGCTGACC